CCAGCCATAAATACCTTGTTCTTAGATAATAAGCTTATTAGTTACTGCCCTATAACCATCAAGAAAGCATCTAGAGAGACCTAGTTATTGTTTTCCCTGGAGGCTGTTTTCTACATAAAATTCAGCACTTCCTGTATCCTACCCAATTCTACCCTCTAGCCACCAAGCTTTTGGCAAATATAAAACAGGAGGCGGGAGGGTAATTACCTGCTATATAAAGGAAACACTGCTGAAAATTAATGTTGTCTTAATCTGGAAGAATGTTATAGACCATCCTGCTGCCAGACCAGAAACGAAATTGTAGAGTTCAGTAGCTATTTGAACTGAACTTATTAGCATGTTCTGGAAATGAAAGTGAAGTGGGATTTTAAGAGAGATTCCAGGGACAGAGACCAGCCATTACTGGCACCCATTCTTTTGAAATTCTGGTAAGAACAAACACTAGTCATATAATCCAAGTACAGAAATGCTGCATGGTTGTGCGTGTGAAGGAATTGTCCCCAGGTGCACTGGATTATTAAAATCCTGAGGACTGTTTGGATTTCCCCTCTAGCAAGTGGTTTGGGTGTTCTCTGCTTCACTATCTTGCTGGCAATCATTTGGTGCCACACCTTCTGATTCTGAGGAGTACATTTAACAAGATGGTTTTAGGAAAGTTCCAACTCTACAGACTTTTGCATTTGTCCCTTTGTGATGAATGTTCCATTCTATGCTCCTACCAAATGCTACAGAAAAAATAATAAAGAGACTGCTACATTACAGATACTTCAAGGAAAATAAAATATCCTGTTTTACATTTGACTGAAGCCTTGCAAAACAGTTTCCAATATCGATGATTGAACTCTCTGATCCAAACTGAAGGTTGGAACTATGTGTATGGTAAGACCCAACTTTCTTCCACTGAAGAGACTTCTAGGACTATACCTATGGGTTGTATGAAATTGATGCAAGCAGGACAAAGAGGCAATGCCAAATCCAGCAAGCACAGGAGATTATCCTATAGGTATTGGTCCTGGAAAAAGCAACATGTGGAGAAACCTGCCTTCCTCACCTGTGTTTCCATAATAGACATGAGGTCCTGCCACTGCTGCTCCAGATCAAAGGGCAACTCTGTCTCTGTCAGAAGGGGAGACAGGAGCCCGTCTGACACGACAGAAGGCCCACTCTCGTTAGGCAGAGAGTCAGTTAGGCTGGGAACATCTGCAGCTGGAAACTAAAACAAAACAGATCAGGGTGAATTCATGGTGTCTAGGTGGTGTTAAAACAGTAACAAATCATTTTTCTTTCAATGGATGAACTTCATAGGTTCTTAAGTTTTTGTCACGCTATGGAAGTCTTTTCTCTTTCCCAAGGTTTATTATTTACTTAAATGCATTTGACACATCTATAAATACACGAATAAATAATAGCAGCTTAAGATATTGTATTATACATTATATTCCTTCACAGAAAACTTGTGACTAGGTTTTTAAATGATTGGCTGAGAAGCTCCTAGAGAACCTTATGAAAGAGTGGGGATTTGAATGGATCTTTAAAGCAATGCTGGAGGCATGAAGTGAGATTCAGTCTATTCTGTTAATCTCCCTGGCTCTATACTAGAATGAGAGCAAAGGTAGGGTGGGGGGAGAGAGCGAGAGAGAGTAAGGATCCAATTTGCAAGACATGCAATTCCAGCACTACAAAATAGACAAGGCCCTGGGTTTTGTGGGTGAGCAAATCCCTGGGTAATTCAGGACATTCCTTCTCAAAGCATAGCACAGTTGCCCATTTCACAAGGTTGTTGCAAGGACATGAGATGGAGACTCAGTCTATTGCTAGACTGAGATTATCTCTGGAACTGACAAATGGAGTGAACACTAAGCTAGCTTTCTCCAACTTGATGCCCTGCAGATGTGTCAGAATCCCAGCTACCACAATTCCCAATTACCATTGCTGCTGACTGAAAATTACCAGAGTTGCAGGCTAATACATCTAGAAGGCATAGCATTGCAGTAGACAACTAAATTGGTCATCTCTATTTCCAAAGAGAGAAAACACATACCTCTGAATTTTCCCCAAAGGGAAATGTGGCCTCCAGCAGCCTAAGGCACTCCTCCAAAGACAAAGCTGTCTGATCTTCAACCCCAGGAACCTAGAAGGAAAAAATAATGTAATGGTGGTTTTACTGCCACAGGGCCAGACCATGAAGATAATCTATTCCTGTGGTCTTCTAATATTCAATGCTTATGTTCTTTTTCCTGTGCTCTACTGATCTCAGAAGACAATATTGGCATATGACCCACCTTAGATAACAATATGGTTATCCATCATAAGTCGCATAATCTAAACCAGGAATGGGGTGGCCAATGTTTTGGTAGCCAGGGACTGCCCTTAACCTTTTTTTTCTTTATATCAGGGGCTGCAATGGGTAGGGTGAGGATACCAAATGCATGGGCAAAGGATCTTCTGCAGCTTTTTGTTTTGGGAATTGTGTGTGGGGAGTGTAAATGTGGTTTGTTTAACTTTGTTATGTCTCTTTCAGAGTTTACACTTCAGTTTTTAGGTCTTCTATCTTAAAATTACAGTGAACTATAGAATCATTTTAGTAATTATAGTCAGAAGGTGCTCTGGGTGACAGAAAAAAAGTTCAGGGATCATGTGCAAACCTGTGGCTTAAGGTGTTGCACCCACAAGTCCAACATAGCATCATCTGCTCAAAATCAGATATAATTTATCAAAAGGAACATTTGAAAATTAATTATCCTCAGCAAACAATAAATATTTATTTATGTAATGGGCAGGCTTTCAAATGCCCTGTCCAGTTCTTACACCATGCTCATCTCAAGTATACGCAGTTGATTCACTCTGACCTCATACCTCTTATAACTTATCCCAGTAAAAAGGAGAAACAGCAAACAATTTTTAGGAGAACTTAAGTGCTACAATTAAGATACAACTTCAAATGTCAAATTTTCTTCGTGGTGTAGCATTGGACGCAGCCCACAAAGAGTGCAGCAAAAAACTGTTCTGAATGCCTGCTTCCCAAAGAATGGTGCTGCTAGGCCTTTAGGTATCAATGGCCCAGAGCCTATTCTGCCATCCTGGGGGCTGCTCCCTGCCCTGCATGTGAATTCTAACAGGAAGATATTGGGCAGACTGGCCTTAACAGTCAGCAGACTGGCTACACAGGATCACAAGAACTTGGGTAACAAACCCCATGTAACTCTATTCTCAAAGCCACTGAGGCCCAAGTAATCAGGTGTCATATTTCTATACATCTTCATAGCCTATTCAGAAAGCTCAGTTTAGGTTAATATGTAAACACATAAAAACATAAATAACTATAGGTATCGAGAAAACACAAAAATAGTAGCCAAAAGAAAAATACGGGAGACAGTCTACTTCTCAGAAAAGGGACTGAACTACAAGTTCCAATCTCCTCTACTGGGCAGGTATGGAGAACAATCTTCACAGTGTAGGAAAGAAATCTGTGCTTCCCCACCAGGGGTATTTTTACCTGTGCAGGAAAGCTCTCCCCTGTCTCGCCATCCACTACCACAGTTCTGTCAGAGATGCTGCCCCCTCTGTTCCTCCAGCCATCCCCACATTCCTCCCCGTTATTCGGTTCTTTATCCACGTCGTTCTCCTTCTGGCGGTGGCTGTAGTCAAAAATCTCACGCCCAGCACCAAGGTCAATATCCTGTCTCCACAGGATATCAATTAAATCAATGTCCTAAAAGAAAAAACGGAGAAAGAAACATGACTGTCTCTTTTCCTCAAAAGGACTTTCTCAGGAGGATGACCTCTCCTACAAAACTTCCAGCACAAATGCCTCCAGCTTCTATACTCAAAGCACCACCATAACTTCATCCGTTCTGTGACGTATGCCCCATACCACCATTTGACCCCACTCACCTCTAAGTGCCGTCCTTCATTCTGAATGGGGTGTGGTCCCTCCTCCCCTGATCCTTTTCTCGGCCATCTCTGCTGCCGTGGTGCTCCAGACATCTTCCCCCCACCTACAGCCATTGTGCACAGGGAGCTTGCCAAGAGCGGCTCTGCAAAGGGGCTGCTCCGGGGCCCAAACCAGGGACTCCATGGACAGCAACTGAGCTGTCTCCTCCTCGCTGCCCATGCTACGCAGCAATGTTCTCTCTGTCCAGGCAGGAGGGAGTCTGCAGCTTTAACTGCTCAGACGGCTGGCTGGGTGAGAGAGGGAGGGCCAATTGTCATTCTGGATTGCTGCTCCATAGCGGGCTTGCATCAGCCTGTGGTGCCATTCTGTCTATTTGCATAAAGGGGTGGAGATTCTCTGCATTTTCAGCCACCTGATGCAACTTGAGAACCCGGCTTGCCATGCGTGCTATGCCTTGCCAGCTCCCTCAGCTCCAGACAGCAGAGCTGCCTACCTTAACCAGTCCTTCAAATTGAAAACAATCACCCTGCTGAATGCACTCTAAAAAAAATTGCCTGCTTCTAACCACAAAGCAGTGACCAGGCCTCCTCTACACCAGACTTTAAACAAGGCTTTGCAAGGCTACCACGCTTTAAAAATTTCTTTCCCCTCCCATGCCCTACAATATCCTGAAAATTCTTCCTCTGCAGGACAAACCTCTCCCAAAGCTATATTTATTCACATACTGCAGCAGGATGTTCCTTTCATTCAGGCCCAGAGATGCCTTCCCATTCTGTAGGGTGTTCTTTTAGTATTACAAAAAAATCTTCTGGCTGAATTACACTGATGGGTCAGCACTTGGGACTCCACCCTTCTATATTTCCATTTCCAATGGAAACCAAATACTTCTACCCCAAATTATAATTATGCCTATATCATGTATATGTAGCAAAGAAGTCCTGAATTAAGGATGCCAGATGTACTCATTTTAAGTTATTTCTCCTTACTTCCTTACAAACAGGAACATAACAGAGTAAAGCGCCCTTTATTTCAGAACGTTAGGGAATATAAAATACAGCAGTGTTGCAATCATTCTGATTTCCCCACCCAATGTCAGAGCACTGATTGTTCCATCTATCTAGGGAACAATAATTCAGAATAAGCTTGGCTTCAATATCTCTATCTTAATTTAACAATTACAGTGTTGACTCCAATCACTGGTCACATATTTCAGAACTAAACTATAAAACAGCCTATTCTGCAACTGCTAGCTCCTCTTTCCATCCTCAGTCTGCCCTGGACCTCCCTAGACCTTCAGCATCTCTAGCTTCAAAAAACCCAATTGTTTTTCCAGGGCCTCACTGATCACAAACATGCATTTGGATCACATCTTCTTCCTCCTCTCCCTACTTGGCATTCATTCAAATTAATTTAAAACACCCCTCCCTAACTGCAAAATACAAGCTTTCTTCCATGGAACATTCAATACAAATAGATGTTTTGAACAAAACAACTTTGCCCTCTCCTTTAGCATGTTCCTCCTCACCAAATATTTATTCAAATTGAAGATTCTAATCCAAATGTATGCCTTCTCTAGTTATTTCCAGATTATGAATGTTTGGAAGTAATGGGGTGATGTGGGTGGAAAGATCTGACAATGGTCTCATTAGGTACACCCTTCGCTCACCCCACCTTCCATAGTAAAACAGGCCATAACATCCACATGGATCAAAGACATCCTTATTTTCAAACATAGCTATCTATTTCTCTCAACTGCCTTGTCTTTCTAACAAGTATTCTACTATTTTAGAATTCTGTCCATCTCCCTCCACCTTCTGTGAAAATCACTGGCACAAAATACATTTGTATGCATATATCATCAACATAATTTTCTTTTCATAACTAAAGCACCACTGAAAGATCCACATAAATTAAGGACTCAAGCCATGATGATACCCTGTTCTTCCAATATTATTTCTTTTGTATATTGATCAGAACAGCCAAGTTACTACATACACTCCATTTCTCTCTTCTCTCCCAATCTATCCCTCAGTCAAAGTATGGCACATCCTTTCCTACTGCAAATCTTTTCAGTACATTGTACCTAAAGGAGAGATTTGGCTTGGATCTACCATAAAAGCAAGCAGCAGACAGGCATAAGGGGTGAGAAAAGGGTTAAAAAGAAGGGATACCTTTCTCATGTCCCCAGCTGCCGCTCCCAGAGCTGTCCACCCAGATCATGGTCTATGTAGAGCGCAGATTCCGGGCAGGCAGAGCTGGGTGACCCAAGCTGAGTGCCGGACAGACATCTCCAGTTTCAGTTAGCAGTTGCTCTTTTTTTGGCAGGCTTGCTAGCTGCCCCCAAGTTGTTTGGAAGCCCCCCCTCCTTTCCAGCATGTGACCCACAGGTGCTGTGCTATAGCCAGTCCTCCTCCCTCCCCTCGCTCCAGCATGAGATCCAATCCTCAGCACTCCTCTGCTTGTCGTTTAGAGAGAGGAGTTCCGTCAAATCCCCACCCCCTGCTCAATGCCCAAGCTGCAGAGATGGAATCCCCACCCCATGTGTTGTGCTGTGGCTGCAGTGAGACTGAGACAACACCCCCACACACGCCCGTTACCTAGGCTGCAGCCGGAGGCAGTCCCCTCCCCCAGGTCACCGCGGAGGATGCAGAGGGAGCCAGGCTCCGCCCTGTGCTGGTTACCTAGGTTGCAGAAAGAACCAATCCCTTGCCTCTGGTCCCTGCTGAGGATGCAGGAGAAAGTGCTCCTCCTTGCATTCGTCACCTAGGATGCAAAGCACACAGCCAATTGCTTTTTACAGCTTCCACCCCACCCAGGTCGCCCTGGGAGCTGCAGCAGCGTTCAGGTCTCTGTCTCCTTGAAAAGCTCCCACGCCTGGATGCCCCACCCAAACCAGGCAATGATGCTTGCAATGGTGCAGGGGGAACAACATTAAAGAAGCCTTTCCAGATAGTCCTGAATATTTCCTCCTCCTTTCTCCTTCTCGGAGATTACCCAAAGTTCTCTCTTCCTTATCAACTGAGATTTCATTCACTCTCGAAAGGAAGCAGAAAAGTGGCAGGCAATAAAGTACAGTATTTTATACAGGTAAGAGATGAACATCAACTCACAAGGAATTTTTTGACCCCTTAAATCAGGACTGGAGTCTCCTTCCCCCCCCCAAATCCCCCCACCAATAATTATCCTAGGATTTTAGTTTCTGCTTTACAATTTTCAGAAACCAGACATAAAATAATGGAATAAGAAATTCAATCTATTTCTCTCCACTGATATTGAATGAGACATCACTGGAGTGCAGGTGGGGAAGAAGTCACCAGATACAAGAAATGTGTACTAGAAAACCATGCATTAAATAAAATTCTGCATCAAAAATTAAATATAATTATATATAAACCTGCTTCCAGCTGCTTATTTGGTCCCAGTTATGTTCTTAATTTTAGGAAAAGGAAGAAAATGCTATATAGAGCAAAAACATTCCACCATTCAAAATTCAGTTTATAAATTTCATTAGCTCACAAGTTTTCATTACGAGTGCACCACATTTACAAGGCCAGCTTTGCAGACATGAAAGAGAGGCTTAGTTTGGTTCAGTTTAGGATTCTTAGCAGAAATTAATGCTATACTTTGCTAGGATGTTATACTCTAAGAATAATACAATTTTTTTTCCAGCTGCAAGGTGTTCTTGCACAATAAACAGAGCTCTAAGTATGAGCATTTCCCAATATGGCTGATTAACTATAAATCTTATAGTGCAGCAATGCATTTTTGTTTTGTGTTGGCCCAACTTCAGGCTAAGAAAGAACATTTTGTAGGTACTGATATCAACACTGTATTTTTCAGTAAAGGCAACCAGATAATTAGGACATCTTCTAGCTTGTGAAACAAAAACAAAACAAAAACTGTGTGGTGGGCTGAGAATAAGAAAGCCTCTTCTTGGACAGAAAGAGCTTTTGACAGCCACAATCATGCCAGTTGTCACTATGATTCCTGCTTTCAAAGAGATCCTAGCAAAGAGGAAGATAAGGATACAGTCTATTTTCAGCCTCTTATTTTATTTCATAATTGGCTGTTTTCATTTATGCCTCTTTCCATAGTTACTTATAAAATCCAAATATCAATTCTGAGTCCCTGCCCTTTATCCTTTAGGTTTTGCAACACATAAACAACAAGCTACAACATTAGTAAATACAGAAGAACTAGTCATTAAAGAGTATTTCTCCTGTATGATGGAAGCGATTCCTTTTCAACACAAATTTTATTCAGGCAATACTTTTTAAAATATTGTTTCAAGAAACTTTCCAGGACTCTTGGACCTATATTCAGTATAACCTGTCTACATCCAGGACAAGTCATACACTTTCCAACAGCAGTGGAATAGAAGAAAGTATTTATAGCCTACTCCAATTTCCCAGAGAAATCTTACTTAAATGATCAGAGAAAGATGAATCTGTTCCCATAGGAAAAGATAGATTTAACAAAATAATAAGAAAAATAAAAGCAAAAAACCAAATTCTCCCAAACCAAACCAGAGTTTTTCCAGAACTAGTTCAACATTTTAACCACTACCCCACATTTTCTTTATTCTGACAGCTTGCCAAAACTACTTCAACCTTTGGCTTTCTCAGAGGTCAAATTCACAACCCACTTTTCAATCAGTATGCAACACATGTGTTAGTAACAAAATGTATGTGCAATTTAGCCTCATGTTATTGTATAACACATGACTTTCCAGTGTAGAAACAGTAATAACATTTTAATAAAAAATGTGTCACAGTGTCACACTCTTAGGGATATAGTACCATTTTTGTAAATACATGTCCTCACTTAACAACCCTAATTGGGACTGAAATTTCCATTGCTAAGCAAAGTGGTCATTAGGTGAAACATCATGTGACTGCACCGCTTAGCAACAGCAGTTCCGATAGTCCCGGTTGCAGTTGTTAGGCCAAAACCATGACGTCATTAGGCAAGGACATCACACTTGTCCAGCCCTGTTCATGCTCGCCTCTACTTCAACTCCCCCACCTGCCTATCTCCCCCAGACCTCTGCCCTTTTAGCCGCCCTGAGCTCCACCCAACTGCCCCTGCCACCTTCCGTTGATCACTGCCATCTTCTTCCTCCTGCTGCTGACAAAACTGCTGCTGGCCCTTTGTGAGGCTTTGGGAAGGCCTTGCAGAGGCCTCATAAGGCTTTGGGATAGCTGCGCAGAGGCCTCGTGAAGGGCCAGCAGCTGCCTTGGCCAGGCACACCTGGTCAGCAGCAGGAGGAAGAAGACGGCAAAGGTTGTCTGAGGCAGCAGGGGTAGGAGGTGGAGTGCAGGGTGGCCAAAAGGGCAGAGATGGGGGGAAAAATAGGCAGGTGGGGGGACCTGAAGCGCACGCTGCTGTAGTGAATGTGGGTGGGCTGCCAAGTGTTCGAATGAACATGTGACCATGGGGGCATTGCAACTGCTGTAACTTCGAGGACCAGTCATAACTACTATTCATTCAGCGCCATCATAACTTTGAACTGTCATTGAATGAATGCTGGTTAAGTGAAACTACCTGCATAGGCCTTCTAGAGCTCCTGAGATATAAATCAAATGGAAATACTGTATCAAGAGAGACCTTGAGATTAAAATTGAAGCCTCAGGCAAAAGTAGAGGGAACCCAACTGGATCAAAGCTGCACATCAAGATCAGCCAAAAATCTTATTATTATACTTCATACAGAAAGAAGGCAGAGCTGCCTTTAGGTTTTGGAGGATGCTAAACAGCAAGCCACCTAGGGGACATCCATTACTTCTTCCTATTAAGACTGCTGTCATTGCAGGCATAGTTTCTTCTATTTCCTCGAGAGAGACTTGGCGGCAGCAGTTGTTGCCACTCTTGTCACAAAAAACAGGAGAAATTATACAGCAAGCAAGTATCAATTATTTCCTGCAACAGGATAAACAAACAATAGTTACTTACTATCAACAAATAAGATGATATGATACATGCTGCTGCATGGGAATGAAGGTTGGATGGGAGGTTGGCTGGCTGGCTGGGTCCAATCTTACAGAAGACTAACAGCTGCTCAACAATGTCAAACCATGACAATCCCTAAAAATCCCTAAAATAAGGCCTGTAGCAAAAACATCAGTGTAGTATAGAGGTGAAGTATTAAAAGGTGCTAAATTGCATTCTTGCTCAAAGAAGTAGGTTTCATTATGGAAAATGCAATATTTTAAAGACATCTGCTTTCCTTTACTAAATGTATTGTTAATATATTTCAGTCTCAATATTTTTATATCCTGTTTTATCCTAATTCTATGCTAAACAGCTCAACCTTGTTAATAGTTCTTCCAGACACCATGGGATCATGAAGACGTTCAACAGCAGTCTCAGAAAATCTCTCTCCACATACTAGGATATTTTAGCTAAACATCATTAATTTTCATATCTTGAAGGAAGCAAGGGTCACTTGAGACATGAGAAAACCAGGATGTTCTCAATTGCTGATGTTTACGGTCTTTGCTGCCAGAGTAGAGGCAGGCTTGAAATGAGGAAGGCTACTATAGGACAATACAAACTCTAGCAATTCTCATCACATGTTGCCTGAGCTAGACATTTATTTTTATCCCTTGTTGTGGAAATATTACAAGGACAGTGTAATCCAAATAACAAGTTTTCTAGAAGAACAAGCTGCCTATAGTATTCAGCCTACAGGAGTGCAAGGTAAAAGAAATATCAAAGTATGAAAGGCAAACCCAGACAAATATTACAATTAGAGGTACTAGCAGCAGCCATCAAGACTTTGGACTCATAAATATAAACATCCTTTAAGCTAATCTTATTCCCACCCCATAAATACAGAAAAAAGACACTTAACGGGCAGCTGCAACTTCCTAGTCCTTTGTCACTCAATGCCAAGGCACACAGAAACAAATCAGGATCTAAGAAAAGTATGAAGACTGGAGCAGGACTGACAGAATCAAGTCCAGAAACAGTAAGACAAATTAGAGAGGCAGCAAGTTCAAGGGAAAGATTCAAGTGTCTGAAGAGAAGTTGGAACACAGAGTCCCATAAAGGTAAGTTCCAGGGAACCACTGGGAGAAAAAGCAGAAAGTAAGCTTGAAAGATCATCTAATTTCTTTGCTTAAAATCAGGGCTGATAGGAAAAAATGAATTAGTAATAACTGGAGATTCAGAGGTTCACAAACCTTTCCTTAGAAGGTTGTTTAAGAATACCCAAGTAATATATAGAAAGCAGTTAACAAACAGTTTGTGGACCGCTACCAGTCCACAGACTATGCTTTGAGTAGCATTGATCTATAACACATTATAAGACACTAATGGGAAAAAGAACCTCAGTCTGGTTCTGTTCATAGAAAACATCCAGGAAAAAAACATTTCTAAGTTTTAAGAACTTTAAGTAAATGTCCATAGATGGGTTTAATATTAAATAACCACATCCACCCCAAAACATTACACGTTAAGAGAAGATATTACAGAATACATAACCAAAATTTCAATTAAGCTTTAATAATACTTTCCAGAGCTACTTCTGGCTAAACAGTTTTTTCTCTCTGATTCCATAAAGGATGGGAAGTAGTAACTATGATGCAGTAACTACCAAAACTCAGAGACAGTAGTCCAGTTAGATTTCTAACAATTCTGGATGCCAAGGAAACATAGGAGGAACTTATATCCTTAATAACTGGGAACAGCCTTTTTGTTCTTTTTTATAGACTAACTTAAGATACAGCAGAACCACCATTGAGTGAAGACATACTGGAAGATTGGCATGGGAACTCTCATTTACTACAGTTTAATCTCTCCCATTCTAAACAAATGTTAGCTTAGGTATAAAAGTAAATACCATACATGTTACATTACGGTTGCTAAGAAATAGCATGCCTACTCTATCCAGCAGTAGAAACACTGAAAACTAAATTGGTATGTGATATTTTTTGCCAATAATTTTATTCAAAACACAGACACAATGAATTCTAGGAACAGTTTTTATGCCTACGACATTTAAAAAGAATTATGAGTTCAATACAGACAGAGGCTCCTCATACTGTGCTTCACCTCCTGCCCCAAAATAGTTAGCATGGCAGGGTACCCTCTGTGTTATACTTATTAATATAATATCCCATGGCATCTCAAAGTTCCTTCTATGTGTTTCAGTAGTTCCACCAAAGAGAAATAAACTAAAATACTGCTTTAAAATAGTTCAT